GAACGACCGGGTCGATTGCACGTGATAAATCGTCGACACTCGTCGAAATTCTCATTTGTTGCTTTTACTTGTATCGTATCACATGGCGATATCAAAGTTCAGTGCAAACAGGTTAAATAAAATATACACTTTCAGGGCAAACATCAGACACGGTCGAGCGTTACGACAAGTTGTGTATTATGATACAAGCGGAGCAAGATTGTTAACATAAAAAAAAAAAAAAACACTCATGTACTTTACAGCTAGTGAAAATGTCTGGAAACGAGTTTTACACATTCGATACTAACCGCAGTGTGTGTGGTTTTTGTTCGGCATCGAGCTAGTTACAGAGTATACTTTTGGCCGAACCCGATAATATTGTAAATACCTAATGATTAATTAAATAAGAAAAATTAAAATAACGAATACGTTGGTTGCCGACGTGGTCTGTAACACATCGATATTGCTATTGCAACAGATGTTGGCCGCGTAAAGGATATTTGACTACCACGTGTGATGATAACATTCTGTACTTGACAGCGCCGTCGTCAACGGCGTACTTATCGGACGAGTTTCAAGTTCAATAATATTATAAGAGGTGACGGCTCATAATGTATGGTGTAGTAGCAAATATAGTAGCTTAGGCTAATGGGAAGCCAAGTAAGAACCGGTTGTAAATCATCGCTGCAATCAACCGGCTCGTATAATATCAGCCAGCGCTGTTGTTTTTTTATTATGTGTATAAAGCGTGTAAGAATATCGAGTGTGTAAAATATGTATTTAAACGCGCGCATCGATATAATTGCTCGGGGTGTCCGTGTAACGAAAGCTAGTAAAATATATAAAAAAATTACCACCGAAACGTCCGATAAACGTGAACCTTGTTAACAAAATTTAATGACGAAATATGCTTTTAAAATGTATTTATGAATTTATAACACGGTGTGCGCCAAACGAACAACTCATCACACAAGTTATCTACGTCAATTCAGAACGCGTCTAGGAAAGAGCCTTTTAAATGGACTAACCGTAATGAAAAATAACGTTTCACAGACAATAAATTAAATGCATCACGATGTGCAATGTAATTTACACTGAATTTATATCACGGAATTTCGGTTTAGATATTTGAGACAATATGGTCTCGGCCACTGTATGGCGGTTATCCTTATAGAACAAAACATATCATATTTATACATACTGCTGTTTTGAGTCGAGGTGTTTGTGAGATTAATGATCTTGTAGACACCTTTTTTTTTCTTTCGGGAACGTTTAGAAGGAATTACACGATTTACGGTAGGAGGGCACCACAGGGGGGAACACATTGTTGGCGGTGGCCAGAGACAGTTGCCGCGCAGTGCAATCGGTTAAGTTTACCATTGCCGCCGCCGAGAAGTAGTGTGTTGTATTTTTTTTTTAATCAAGGAACATCATTAAGTGAATTGAAATCGGTAATATTCAGGGTAAAGTACGACATGTTAAAAACGATAGGCAATTATATAGAACAAAGTACAAATAACACGCTCTATAGAAATCGGGTGTTACTTTTTTCACACGTTTCCAAAATACGATATGAAAACGATTATTTCTAATGGAATACTTTATCGTTTAACTCGAATATGGAAATATGAATTAGACTTTGCGTCGCTATCGATAAAAATGACTTCTACATGAAGTCTAAATAAAAATAAAATGTTTTATATATAAATTTATTGAAATAAAAATCGGCAGCAACGAGAGAGTTGATATTTTTTTACGGGTTGGCATTAATATTATATTATATGATAAAAAATAAAACTATGATGTGTGTCCGCGTAACTGTTATTGATCTAGAGTGACGCGTTTTCAAATGGGTCAACTCTTCTTATTTTTGTCGTTAAAAGAACAATAAATTTGTCTTCTTGAAGTTTTTGCTATGGAATGCCACCAGTATTTAAGTTTTATTGATCTCTAAACTGGTTAGAAGTTTTATGGTCCAGCATAGGCAAATTTGTTATTTATATGGGAAAATAAAGAAATAAAAACTCAACCAGAAATCACAGCAGTTAACGACTTAATTTTATACGAACACTTAATTTAAACTCATTGCTTGATCGCTGCCGTCATTGGAGACATTTCGGATACAAAGAGCGCGTGTGTTACGTTACTCTGCATAAGACATATTGTGTTATTAACCCCTAATAAATGTTCAACCGGCTTAGCATACTAGTTTATCTGAATGCTCTGTCGACATGATTTCAGTTGTTCTCGATGCGTAACGGTATATTAATAACATAATTTTGTTAATTCTGAAATATTGAGCCCAGTGGAAAATACGACTCTAATTATTTTTATTGCGCGGTCGAATTTCATCGGGAGGCAATAAAAAAATGTTAATATTGCCGTGGAGATCGACACAAACAACATCGGTCGAAATCGATTCGCACAATCTTGTAAAACGAGTTAAGCACAATGTCGTCCGTTGGAATAATGTTAGAAAATTGAGCTGCGAAGATTGACAGGAGGCGACTGCGTTAGGTGCCTATCACAGCTGAGTGTACACCGACAACTTAATGTACTCGGTTTATTTAATTTGATCAAACGACGCGACAATTTTTTCCTCTACAAAGTCAAGGCCTAAACTGATGTAGGCGACGCCCGCAAGAGCGATTCCGTAACTACAAACATGTAGTGTTATTGTAATGTTTTTTAGCCGGAAGGCATTTCATATAATTGTACGGATCACATTATTTTGCACTCGCAGAGGAGAGACAAAGTCTTGTTCTACGTCGTACAATAGAACCGACTTCGATGCCGCTTTTGCAATCATAATATTGTAATAATATATCATTATACGTTAGTACATGAAACGCAACGTTTATTATGTTGACAATAATTAATATTATTGGAGAACCGTGTTGCATTCCGCTTGTTGTCAACTTCCCGGGTTACACACACGCCGGGTACATTATCATTTTTTTCCATTATTACTTCCACAGCAAATGAAACAGCAACAACACACTTATAGTAGCGTAATGTGTACACAGGTACAATATTGGCGCACTTATTCCCACAATCCGGTAAACACGAGAAACTACAAATCCAACTCCTCGGTGTTTTTGCCAATAATGTTTTACTCGTACGTACGTTGACACTCGGTAAAAACAACGCGTTTCTCCGAATACAAATCCAAATTAAACTCGAAGACACTATTATCATATTATTCGCGATCACCGAAAAAAAAAAATGTAATAACGTTCACTCGAAATTTATCGAACCGGTTTACTTATCAATTAATTGAAAAATAACAGTATTAATTAACGAGCGGACAGTTTTAAGGTTGGACGATTAAAAGTATCGTTGTATGTTTACTTAGCATATGTCAGTTGAATAAAATCACGATATTTTACTTTTATTACATAGTTGATTAGAAAATGTAAAAACCTTGTACAACTAAAACCAATTGACAATATTTTTATATTTTTCTACAACTAGCTTCATTTAAAGTCTACCATAATCGCACAACTAATAATTTTAATTTGGAACTTGTTATATAAAGGGTACAGGGAATGAATGGTACCAGTCAAATTCTGATTTTATCGTTTGATTCGGATGCCAATTAGCAGTAGTATCAAGTTATGAAATCCATATGGTAAAAATAGTTTTCTTTTTTCTAATATTTAAGTGTCTAGTTTTGTTTTGCCATTAAAAATATAGGAATTTATAAACTCATTTTTGCTCTCCTGAAAAATATACAGAAATGGACCATTACCCTTCGCGCCCTTTAAATGTAACACACTTATCTCTTTAAAAAATATGAAATTCATAGTGCGCTGTGTATTTTTCGTTCGACAATCGAACGAACTCGGAACGATTTTTATGTAAATCGGTATATCAGGTATAGAATGTCCCGTCAGGGGCATGTCTACTCCAAGTGAGGTCGTTCGAGACCAAACACATCATAATACCATCAAAGTCCAGTAGCCGAAGCGTCTCTCGGTATATTATCTCTTTCTTCGACATAACGTTCGAGGTGCCATTAACGGGCATGCTACTGTTGGGTGTTCGGAATACGACGACCTGCCTATATGTAATAATATATTATAATAACGGCAGAACCAGGTCTCGTCACTTTGGGGTCGGCCCGAAGCATATTTGATGTGACGTGCAATGGGAGGCAAAAACACGAATTCCATTAACGTGGGATTAAAAAATAATAATATCGGTCCCAGAAATCCCGTCTAAGCGACCGCCTACCTGGAACGGTATGCTTAAGAGGCATACAATATTTGTTGAAAAAAAAACAATGGCCTCGGGTCTAAGACAAGTGAAGTGCCTAATGAAGTTTAAAAACATTAAAATATGATTATGCTTTGCGAGCGACATTTTCGAGTATTTTTTTCGAAGAACAATATTTATGCTGTTGTTTATGCAAACGACTAGATTTCTAAAAAAATATTTATTTGTAACCGAGATCAGCCCTTATTTACGATTGCTATTACATTGTTATGAAGCGAAGCAGTTTGAATGTTTTGTTAGTTTATTGCGAAATGTATTATTAGTGTTTAAACAGATTAGCTACGGACGATGAAAAATTTAGGAAGAAACCGTAACCAGACGATATAGTGCAATAACATTGAAAACATCGATTTAGAGTGATAGTGTCGAGATAAAAACTGGATACGTTCAAACGTTACAAACTCATGAAAAACATGCTGTGTACAGGTGGCAAATCGTTAATTTCGGTTCTCGCTATAATATCAGACATTATTCTACAATGAATTATTTTTATTGCTCTTTAAAGCTAACTCTTTCGTTGCCTAATTTTATTTTATGGTGCATGTGTGAGTTTAAAAAAATAACAAACTAAATTATAGTTTGCGCGGGCACACTATCTCTGAATAGTTACTGTCGTTTCACAAGCTTTCCACATAAAACAACATAATTTCTAATTATTGTTTTTGTTTTCAGATAAGTAAGAGTTGCGGTGTTATTATGATGAATACCTACTGTGAATAATGAAACAAAAATAATCAACTTACCGGTGTGAAGAAATAGGTGGTTTTTAAGATTTGTGTGTTTGCTGAATCCGCGGTTGCATATATGACATTTGAACGGCCACGACCCGTTGTGAACGTACATATGAGATTTCAGATCGCCGGGAGTTGGGAATGACTTTGCACATAATGTACATTTGTGTGGTTTTTCCTGTGAAAACAAAGTTCATTTAATATGAAATCACTTATTATCCGTGTCATCCGTTAACTGAGATGACCACTGTTACCAATTTAAATAATTAAGACATTAGAATAAGTAATAAAAAAATAATCGTTGCTATTTTATTATTCTGGCTGTCAAATTGACCACTCTATTTTCGTATACGCTTTTAATAACACTTTACATTGATTTGAGATCGTAAACATCGACCGGACCTTATATCCGGATCGATTTAAGTAATTGTGATAATCAAGCAGCAAAAATAATAAACACAAAAGTAGGTCTTCCAATCAAAGTAATAAAATTAAACTACATTAGTATGTAAATAGCAATCATCACACCACAGCTGACAGAAAACACATAAATTATCAGAAAGAAATTGGTCTATTTCTTTTTTAAGTAATAAAATATGAAATCAAAATTGTGTGCGTAGTGCAGATATTTTAATATTTCAGTTGATTTTATCGACCGCTAAAGGCAGATATTTATAATGTAGTTATGATGTTAATTGAGTAAAAACACTCGAGTACGGAAAGATCGTTTAACCACCTGTTCGGCTTACGTCAAGGTCGAAAGGTTCACATAGACCACTGCAGCGGTCATCCTCCCGAGGGCACACTCGTCTGCAAAATGCACTCTTGAGATCTTACTCGCGTGTTGCCTCTGTACCGGTTTTCAAATGTATTAGACTATTTTACATTATACTCGATGGTAAAATAAAGAAAACACAATAATAATTAACCCATAGGTTATTATAATATCAGAGCACCTGCTGCCGGTCACCTGCGATGGCAAATTGATGGGATTTCGGTATCCTCACATTTGGACGGAAGTTTAATTTTCCTCTCTCTCTCTCTCTCTCTCT